TAGCCCTCATACTGATGCTCGACCGCGGAGCCACCCGCGTCACAGGCGCTGCGAATTCACCCGCTGGCGTGTTTTGCTGTTTGTCTACAGCATTTTTTCAGGCGTGGGGAGGGTGGCATGTGCTGACTGCGGCACCCTTTTGCACGCCCAGTGGCGGCAGGCCATCAGGGTTTGTATACATCCGCCTGTTGTGGCCCGTAGTTGGGCCGGCAGGATGTGACAACGCATGCTCGGTAGGTTTACTGGCATTTAAGTGGAGCCACCCAACAAGGCTGAGCTTATTGACAATCTACATACCTACATCCGTCGCACTGGCACAAGGCCCCGACGGAAGGCGCGCATGTGTGTGACGTCACTGTCCGGCCGGCATGTGACAGTATGTACGACATATACACCGGTATGTTTGTTGGCGTAGTAAGAGGGGCACGTGGAGTGCCGTCCCAGATCTGGGGCTGATTTAGTGCGCCACTGGCATGCCAGAGTGTTTGCCAGCAGGTCGTCCCGTGAGGCTTGGGAAGAGCGATGTGGCGACAGCATATCACACGCAGATGATAACATCACTATGCAGGTGACGTCAACACATCAGGCAATGGAGGCCGTTGCTCGTGAAAAGACACATCAATTGGAATTGAGTGCATTATATGTCATCCTCTCGTAAGTTTAGTACACAGGGGTGTTGAGCGTCAGTGCACAGGTGAACAGATGACAATGGAATGCAGGAGCGCTGGCCGACTGGGCATTACCGACACGGTGTGTGAGTGCGGAATACTTTCTGCCTTAGTGCGATTAACAGCCATGGTGCGTGGCGGCCACCGCAGGCAGAATGAAGAAAAGGTGGCTGGGTGCTGCCGCGGTCCGTTCCCGTTACACTCGCCGGTCGGGCACTGTTGAGATCGCTCAATACATTGCAAATGTAACGCTCGCTTACACAAGGTGGCTGGGATAGCATAGCTACCTACTCTGGCTGTCGAGATGTTACATCAGACATTAAAGCATCTCAAATGTTCGTATTCATGTTTTTAGGGCAGGGCAGCACTTGTACTGAGTGGCAAGATGAAATAGTGGAAGGCGCTGCATGCAGAAGTGAGCCACGCCAAGTACCATGCGTTTAAATGCATAACAAGTACCACAGTGCAAACTTTAAAATGTGAATGTAATAATTGTGGCTGCAAATTCCATGGGGCAGTTGTAAAGCACCAAAGACTAGTGGCCGCAAATGCACAATTAAGCCAGTCAAATATGTGACCGCCGCGACCAGGCTGGGCCGGGCCGCACTGGGCTAGACCGCTGACGCTGCTAGAACCCTGGTTGGCTCCATCGACCTAGGGCCTCGGGCGTAACGAAGAAGTATGTGCTAATTCTGCGGTCACATGTACGCATGCAAGCGTGTACATTGCTGTGTAAATGTGCCATTCACAGTCATCGCCCTAACAGAAGTCATCTTTCCAGCCGAGCCCCGCGCAGCACGTGGCAGACGGGTCACCGCAAATGGCGGTGTCATTATTCAAGGCAAGCATGTACCAGCCTTGAACGAGCAAACTGCAACTGCGTGCTTCGCAGCCTGTTCGAGGCGATTGCGGGTACTCGGTGGATGTCATCTCCCATCACGTTGAACCCATGCCTGCCATATCTCACCACCAAATCACTGAAGCGTTATGGCCAGAAGTCATGCGATAAACAGACCACATGCAAGTTTTTATCAGTGCGATTCGCAAAGCTGTTTACCAGATAAAAGATGTTATGAATCATGGCATACGCGTTATCGGAGACAAGTCGTTGTCCAGGACCAAAGAAGATGCTGCACCAAGTTAAAAGGGAATATTTCACATTTAAATATATTGAAACAAGCATCAGATATGATGAAATAAGCTCACTTACAACTATTGATACGCCTTTTAAGTGGAAAGGACTGCTATAAACAGCATGCTTCTCCGTTTAGTAAATATGCTCCTCAATACGTTATGGTTTGGTCACATCATTGTGCGTTGCACAACAGTGATTGGGGGCCAATTTAAGGGAAGTTAATTCTGGAAATCGCGCTCATGAACGCCAGATATGAGCGCCTCAACATTTATACTTTTTCGGCCTTGAGCGCCGCACGGCTCATCGAATGGCAGGATGTGAATGACGTTATTATGGCGTCATGAATGCGAAGGTGAATTTGAAATACTCTCCCCGTTATGCTTTTCCCATTCCGCGGGCGTGCAGCTCAGAAACTGAAGGGGCTTAGGTCTTACGAAGGGCAGGATTGTGAACAGCATCAAAAGGTCTTCCAGATGGCCGTTTTAGTTCAAAACCCCATACAAATGTGGAATACTCCATTTAAGACGTGGTGATGGACCAGACACCTCAACACGAAGCCCCATTGTTTGAACAACTCTGGAAGCTTGGATGCAGTGCCACTTGAATGCATTATCAGGAGCCGTATGATGCGGACCTTGTGTGTGTGGCTGCATGTTTGTAGGGTAACATTTGTCTCAGAAATTATCATCGAGCTAATTGAGAATCATTCATTATCATTAAAGATCATTATTAAATCATTATTAAAACATCAATCATTAAAGAATCAATGAACTTCGACAATATTCTAGATCGACGCACTGAAAACGATAAACGCTCCATATGAAGCATCGAACAAATGGCCAAAAATGTCGTAACTTTGACTTTGCTGCGGTGCATAAGCAACAACCTATATTGTGTACATATATATTCAAGACAAACGTATATACTTGAGTCATCATTCCAAACGAGAAGTTTCAGTTATACGTACATACATATATATATATATATATATATATATATATATATCATGTCGTCGTCGCAACATGTTTAGGATGCGGGCTGTGTGCAGTTTGAAAGCCGAGAAAAGGCAGGTAAAGCTGTTGCGCTGCCCTTAAACGTATGCTGTAATTGGAGTCGCTGATTCTGGGTGTGTCAATTGACTCAACTCTGACTCCACAAACTTTCCCCGGAGTCGACTCCACCCTGACTCAGCCCAACTTCGGATGACTACGGAGTCGACTCCGGCTCACGGTCGGTCATAAGTCGGGTGCATAGTGCCGTGTTTAACAACCGCCAGAGACCACGCAACGTGCGGCAGCGCTGCCGTCAGCGGAGAGCGGCCCTGGATCCGGAGAGGCCCTGGATCCGGAGACTCTGGGTCCGGAGAGGCCCGTGCTTGGACGTCGCTAGGGGACCATGGGGCGGCCGCCGCCAGACGCCTGCGAGCGTCAGTGTCCATGGAACATTGAAAGGCGGGAGTCAAACGGTGCAAGCAGTCCCACCGCGTGTGCCGTGCCGACGCTGCATCAGCTGGCCCTCCAGCCGAGCTCGCATGGCGCCCCGTCGGCGGCGACGGGGGGGGGGGAAGTGGGGCCGCGACGAGATGGCGTCGCGACGGCCGCGGCGGGGGGAAGGGGGTCCGCGACGAGGTGGCGTCGCGACGGCCGGCCGGCGGCGATCGACGGCCGGCCGGCGGCGTGACCGTCAGATCGCGGCCGGCAGACCAGAATAGTCGGCCGCCGTTCGCTCCAGGATAAACAGACGGCACGGCGGCGGACGCCGCGCCGGCGCGCGCGAACAACAGCCCGCGCTGCCGCCGCCGCTGCTGATTCAGCGCGAACGGCGGCGTGCCGCGCCCGCGCGCGCGTCCACGAGTCCGCTCCGAGTGACGGCCACGGTGTTTGGTTTGATGGCAGTGCAAAGGGGTTTGTTGTCGTTGCTGTGACGGATGATGATTGGCGGGCGGGCGATTTATGGGACGGTGGATGAGCACGGCTGCCGCTGCCAGCTGACGCAGGGCGGTGTCCGGAGCGTGTCGTGGCGCATACTGCAGCCGACTGGGCGCCTGCCAGCCGACCCGGCCCTCTGGCACTCTCGGCGAGAAATGACGCCGGGCACTCTAGACAACTACCATCAGCAGTGCTAGTTATGCCATTATTTTGTTAGTCTGCAGTTGGTTAGTTAGGTACAGAATCCCGTCATGCAGGCAGCTATCTGTGCTGTCGGCAGTCTCGACGCGACATGGCGCGCTGCATTCTGGACAACTGGCTAATCATTCTGCATTCTGGACAACTGGCTAATCATTCTGCATTCTGGACAACTGGCTAATCATTCTGCATTCTGGACAACTGGCTAATCATTCTGCATTCTGGACAACTGGCTAATCATTCTGCATTCTGGACAACTGGCTAATCATTCTGCATTCTGGACAACTGGCTAATCATTCTGCATTCTGGACAACTGGCTAATCATTCTGCATTCTGGACAACTGGCTAATCGGCAATGCGCTGCGGACGTCCACATAAAGTTTTGCTACGATAGGACATGTACTGAACAAGCACTTGGAACACGCAACCCCGAGGTCATATCAATGCCGCCGAGACATTCACAATCAAGCCGGGGTGTGGTGCCAACGTCGCGGCAGACAGCCGGCGAGCGCACCCGTTTCGGACACGTAACCGCAGATAACCCCTTGACCCTCAGATAAGCCCCTCCTGCAACTCGACGCGAAGCTTATCGGTGCGTCTGAGAGACACGCCCGATTTGATCAGGTGAATGAGCTTTCATCAGCCACTCCGCGGTGCACGTGATCTCGATCGGGTCTGATGGACACGTTCGCCCACGCTGGGCGCCAGCGGCGGGGTGAGGTACAGCCGGCGGCCGGCGACGGCGCTCGTGCTTCGCTCTCCCCGCAGATGTGAGCCGGCCTCCCGGCAGAGCCACAGCCCAGCACCACGCCATGAGGCCGTCAACGAGCCGCGCTCGCCCGCCCTGCAAGCGCCATTAGACTGCAACGCGCGAGCCGCGGCGCAACAGGCGCCCACGCCCGGCGCCGCGCCGTAAGGGCGACGCGCCTTTGCCGACGGCTGGAAAATGACCCGCGCCGCCTGTCCAGAGGAGGCGCGGGGCGGCCGCGGGGCGGCGCTAGCGTCGCCAGCGGCCGGCGCAGGCGCGGGGGCGCGCCGCCGCCTCCCGAACTATTTTAGTCGCCTTCGACGGCCGGCGAAAAAAGCGTCGGCGGAGGTGCGGCAGGTGCGTGTGACGGCGAGTGCGGGCGGAGGGGCACGCAGCGTGCGGAGCAACAGTGCAGGGTGCGCACCAGCGTCAGGTCAGTTTCCAGTGTAAACAGCCTGCTCGAGGGCGACGCGGCTCAAGTGGCGACGTCCCGCCGCCTACCATAACACCGCACACGGGCCACCGCCGGGCCCGCCTTTCATCTCTGGTATGGGCGGAATTGATGATCACGCGAGCGGAAAGTATGCACGTGGGCGCGAGGAAGGGCAATGTTCGGCAGTGATCCGCGCTGTGATTGGTTCGATGACCGGGCGGTCACGCCAATCAAAATTTGCATATCGGCAGTCTTGCATATCTGCAAGTGCGTTTGGCGTGAGCGGCATCATCCAGGCAAAAACATTTGGAGACAGGGGTGGTATAGGCTAATCGAGTTTGTCATTTCCACACTGCCTTCCAGGACAAGAGTGGATGATTATGGGCTAGTAAGTCTTCTTTTCATTCAACCCCTGCGTTTTTACGACCAGCTGCTCTAAGATAGTTTTGAATCTTTTCTCGCCTTTTGTCGCGTTCGCAGAACGTGTAACGAAGCATTGTCAGCTGCATTGGTTTAACTCTCGGTGCAGCAGTAGACAAACAGAGCCTCCGATCCAGGGCATTTCAAATGCATCTTACGCCACGGTGCACGCCGTGCTGTTTCGGTGGCCCGCGTGGTCGCACGCAGGTTAACTAACATTCGACCGGCATTGTCACTCCTCTAAATTAGTTTGAATCTGGTCGCGGACCACCAGACCTGTTCAAAGCATGTTTTGCCGCTATCAACTGCTCTCGTAATCCCACTGTTTTCTGCATTTCCTTCGGTTTTCTATACCTGCCATTGTAATCGCAAACAACCGATCGGTTCACTTGGCACAGCTCGGGGCGGCGTAGTGGCTGCCATCGGCTTCGACTCTGCTGGCAAAACAATCACAAGCTGCTGTCATCGGAGGCGACAGGGTCGAAGAGGCCTCACATGCCGCGCGCTGCGGGCAGGAGGCCGGGCGGCGTGGGCGGACCACAGCCGAAGCACGCTGAAGCCGCCCTCCCACCCCGTGGTGCTCCACCGTTCATTCAGTGTTCCCAGAGGCCGTGGTCGGGTACCGCTATCTGCCGGCTGCCCCCACACTCTGACGCGTGTTGGGGCGGCGCGATCCGACGCTGGCCACATTCTGCCACCACAGATGGAGATCCGGCCGTGACCGGCGGCGGCAGCGCCATCTGTCGGCCCTTCGCCTCTGAACCCGTCACACCGGTACACCCTGCGGGCGCCGCTGCAGCCGGCGCCGGCTCCGGCGCCGGCCTGCTCCGGTGGGGCCGGTCCAGGGGCGTGGGAGGTGGCGGCGGACGCCGCGGCGGCGCCGGCCTGATGACATCACCGCGCCACTGCTGGCGTCTCGCACCGCGTGCCGTCGCCGCCGGCCAAACCGCGCCGCCTCCGGCCCCCTCTGTATTGGGACGTACGCCGACCACACTGAGGTTACTGAGATCACTGCGCCGCTCTGGCAAGTGCCGGGTATACGCCAAGCCCGCACCCCCTTCCGACAGCTGGGGGTGTGCAGTTGCTTGCCGCCGGTCTGTTGGTCCGTCCGGGGCCGGCTCAGCACGACCGGAGCAACGGCGGCGACAGGGCGAGCCCGACCCCACCCCGTTCTGCCCGGCGGCGCGACCTCTACAGCGCCGCCGGGCGGACCGGGTCGCCAGATGGGCCGCCGGACGCCGCGGGAGGGTTGTGACGTCACGGCGCCGGCCGTCGCCGCCGGCCGGCGGGCGTGGGAGTGGCCTGTCGCCGCAAACGGGGTGCCATTTGTTCCGTGTCGCATTGTTGGGGGCGCTGCGGCCGGTTCTTGTCCACATTGCCGGCGAGCCCAACAGCTGATTGGAGGGATGCCTGGGCCGACCTGGTGAGCATGCAGCAGGCGGCGGCGATGACGTCATTTCCGGTGTTACTTCTCAAAGCTGCCGCTTTCCAGCTGGGGGGGGGGGGAAGCAGATGGCCTCACCTGAACTCCTGAAGGGTGAAACGCAGGTGGCCATCCGAACTGCCCTGAGATGGGATCTCAGCTGATCACCTGAGTCCCCTCCCCCTCCCCCACCGCGGAACTGACGCCGGCACCTGGACTGTCTGAACTACTGGCAGGGGAGGGAGGGCAGCGCAGGTGGCCGCCTAAACCCTTCCGTCGCCACGGACGGCGGCAGCGCTCCTGTCGACACCGGACGTGCCGGGAGGTCGTCACCAGCGTCAAGCAGGCGCTTACCACACTGGGTTATCTCCGCCATCCGGGCGACGCCATCCCTTCGCCGGCCGCCGCGGTTGACACACATAGCCGGTTGGCAGGGGCTGCGCATTCTGGGTCAGCGGCCGCTGGCGCCCCGCCAAAGGTCGACCCTGCCGTGTCCCACGCACGGTGCGTGCGTGACGTCACTCAGCGCCCGCTCGGCTTGGGCGGGGGAGGGCGGGGCGGCTCCCACGCGCCCACCAAACACAGCAGTTGGCGCGCGCCCCCTCGGGTGGGCTGAGATTAAAGGCCGGCCCGCGAGATGTGACATCACCGCCCGCAGTGCGGGTGACGTCACCGCTGTTAGAACCGTCCTGCGGCTTCGGGTGACGTCACAGCGTTGGCGCCTCGTCTCCACGCGGGTGTTGCCGTTTTTGGAGGCTGGCTGCCCGACGGCAGGACGGTGCCGTGATTATGTGATTGGGATCATAGAGCTCTCCTCATTCCTACGTTCTTCATGACCCGAATGTAGCGCCCGCTAGAACGGCTGCTGGCTGCAGGCTTGTTGCCGGAGTGCAAGAGGAAACGGCCGGCCTGACCGCGTGCACTGGCTCAAAACCGGTTGTCGGGCCGCATGAGGATTTGTATGCTTCCCGCCCTTTTACGTCGAGCGACCGGTCATGACAGCCCAACGCCGATTTCAAAACATTTAAAACGTGCTCTGGTCCGAATTCCGCCTCTGAAATCTCGTGGTATAATGATGTGTGATTTTCATAAGCCACCCGTCCAATGTCAGTTGGTCATTGTGCCCCCTTCCATTACTGGAATGCCTGCTGTGGACGTGTGCGTCTTGAGCCATTTTCGACACAGGTATCCTTGACGTGAACCTTTATCGATCGCTCTCTTATCCGGTCACCGGAGTCGTCTCTGAGCCGATAAACCCATCAGGGCTGGCCGTTCAGCCGGACAGCGACATCACTATGCTCCGAATCAGCCAAGGCCCTCAATAAACCAGTCACATGCGGTTCAGTTGCCGATGAGTGGCACCTCAAACAACAGGGCCGGGCAGGCCGCCAACGGGCGGCGGCGCCGAACCCCTCCTCACCTGCTGAGGCCAGACGTCCTCTCGCTCCGCTGGCCCGGACGTCCCGCGGCCGGCGCGTCCTCGAGGCGGACGTGTCCTCGGCGGAGGGCGGTCCTCGGAGGGCGGCGGGTGATGCACTGTCCCCCCGGCGGCGTCCTCCGCCGTTAAGAAGGAGCCGCCACGAACCCCTGCTCCGCGGCGGACAAAGACCACACGCCATGCGGCTCCGGCTGCGGCCGATGCAGGCGCAACCGGCGATATTCGATGCCGGCTGGGCGCGATCGGACGGCGGCGTTCACGGCTGGCTGGGCCGGCACAGCGCCGCCGCTCGTGTCGGCCCAGGTGCGGCCGCCGGCAGCGACCCACGTGACGCGCTCCCGCACGCGCGCTCAGCGGTGCGCAATGAGCGTCTTCCGGGGGCAGCGGTCGGGGCTGCAGGAGACCCGAGCTGCAGGCAGCGCGCGCCCTGCCGTCTCCCGTGCGCGGCGCAAGCTTGGGGGCTTTCGGTTCACTGAGCCAGCGAACTGGTCTGTGGTCGTGAGGCTGTCACTTCACTGGGTCAGCAAACTGGTCTGTATGGCCTCAGCCAACAATGAATTATGTGAAATACGGCGTTGATCGTACTCACTGTGAGCTGAGTGGAACATCCGCAGGTTGAGATGCATTAGCCTCAGTTGCCAGAATGTGCCCTTTTCCGTCTTACGATCCCAGCCAGGGACGGTCACTGTCCGCCCTGGGGTGGGGTAAAATCTTGCTGCGTCTCTCCACCAGCCGGGAGAACTGTACATTCCTGTCCTCTACTAAGAGCACGCATGACGGATTCCCCGGCCGTCCTCTGTCCGTCGCCCCAGTGCGTGGCGTGGGGAACGGTCCCGTCCCCAGTCGGCCCCACCGCTCGCCCCAGTTCGAGGCGGGGAGCAGTTCCGTCCCCAGTAAGCCCCACCTCTCGACCCAGTTCGCGTTTCCTGGACGCGGGCCGGCGGCAGGGCAGTGTTACTGTTCAGGTGGTGATGTTTGACTTGGCCGATCGCCCGGATCTCCGGCTGGCGGCCCAGCGCCTCCCTGGACAGGATTCCATGCAGCGCGCCCTCTGGCTCACGGCGCCAGCTAGGCCTCAGTTACAGTGGCGCGGCTCGGGGCCGTCGGGGGACGGGTAAACACTCCGGACTGGATACATCGTGCTGAAATGCACCCATAGACAACGCCTGAGGGCTGAGGCTTCAGTTCGGTCGTGACGGATAGACAACGCCTGAGGGCTGAGGCTCAGTTCGGTCGTGACGGATAGACAACGCCTGAGGGACTGGGGGCTCAGTTCGGTCGTGACGGATAGACAACGCCTGAGGGCTGAGGCTCAGTTCGGTCGTGACGGATAGACAACGCCTGAGGGCTGGGCTCATTTCGGGTGGTGGACGGATAGACACGCCTAGGCTGGGGCAGTTTCGGGACGATAGACAACGCCTGAGGGCTGAGGCCTCAGTCGGTCGTGACGGATAGACAACGCCTGAGGGTGAGGCTCAGTTCGGTCGTGACGGATAGACAACGCCTGAGGGCTGAGGCTCAGTTCGGTCGTGACGGATAGACAACGCCTGAGGCTGAGGCCCAGTTCGGTCGTGACGGATAACCCTGTCGAGAACAGTTCAGGACTTTTTGGAGCTCTGCAGATGACGCGAAGGGAAGGGAATGGGACTAGACGGGAGGAGTTGTGGCAGGCTGCCAGCCCTCCAACACTGGACCGTCCCGTTGCAGCACGTGACCTGACCCGTTGCAGCACGTGACCTGACCCGTTGCTGCACGTGACCTGACCCGTTGCGGCACGTGACCTGACCGGCTGCCATCTCCTGACGCAGAGCCGTTGTGTTGCAGGACGTGACATCGACATGTCGTCCCTGACTCGCTCAGAGTACCGACATGAGGAGCAGCGCCGAGTCACCGAGTCTCCGTTCAAGGAGACCAAGTGGGACCGCCACCTCGGTAAGTGGCGTCCCCCCCCCCCCTCCTGTCGCCCTTCGCAGGACAGGGCAGAACGCCGAGTGCATGCGTACTGCCCAGTGGAGTCAAAACCTGTACCTTTTTTGGTCCTGTTCTCAGATGTTTTCAGATGTTGCGTGGTCGAACGCTTCACTTCAGAAGACTGCGTCGCCACACTACGGTTCTCACAACGACTGAGTTTATCAGGTGGTGCTGTGAACTGGTTTCGCTCGTCTGGTATACCTAAGGGCCACGCAATTACCCTTCGCTAATACCCAAGGACCGCGCAATTACCCATCACTAATAACTGTGGCATTTAATCCTACCCTCGCTCGCCTTGCTGTATGGGACACAGCGCGGTCGTGCTAGGGGGCACCGCCTTGCTGTATGGGACACAGCGCAGTCGTGCTACAGGGCACCGCCTTGCTGTGTGGGACACAGCGCAGTCGTGCTACAGGGCACCGCCTTGCTGTGTGGGACACAGCGCAGTCGTGCTACAGGACACCGCCTTGCTGTGTGGGACACAGCGCTGTCGTGCTACAGGGCACCGCCTTGCTGTGTGGGACACAGCGCTGTCGTGCTAGAGGACACCGCCTTGCTGTGTGGGACACAGCGCAGTCGTGCTACAGGGCACCGCCTTGCTGTGTGGGACACAGCGCAGTCGTGCTACAGGGCACCGCCTTGCTGTGTGGGACACAGCGCTGTCGTGCTAGAGGACACCGCCTTGCTGTGTGGGACACGGTGCAGTCATGCTAGAGAGCAACGCCTTGCTGTGTGGGACACAGCGCAGTCGTGCTAGAGGGCACCGCCTCGCTACTGTCAAATGCGACGGCTCGAGATGCAACATGTATGGCCTTCTCGGGCAATCCTCTTAACTGTGTGGTGCGGTTACATGCGATGTTGTCGGCTACCCTCCTTGTAATCCTCGAGAGCTCGCGCATGGATGCACGTGCCTCGCGATGAGGCATTAGCCGAGATCCAGCACCGGCCGCTGCTCCTCTACACCAGCTCCCTCCCGACACAGTCGGTGGAGACGGTTTTCTAATCACGAGCCGTGGGTCGCAAATCATTTACAAGGCGGCCGTGGCTAACTGTGGAGAGCGCTGTTTACAAGGCAGCTGTAGCTAACTGTGGAGAGTGCTGCGAAAACGCCGGTCCATTGTTGGCCCATGCCGCTGAGTTGACCTGTCCCAGTATGCCGTGGGGTGCGTGCAGCTATTTGTGGGTCCACGGCGGCCGGCAGCGTGTCGGGGCATACGGTATGTGTGGATGGGCGCCGCGGCGCTCTGGCCCGCCGATGTCGCTTCCACATCGCGTCTCTCTCTCTCTCTCTCTCTCTCTCTCTCTCTCTCTCTCTCTCTCTCTCTCCTCTCTCTCTCTCTCTCTCTCTCTCTCTCTCTCTCTCTCTCTCTCTCTCTCTCTCTCTCCCCTCTCTTTTTCTCCTCTCCCTCTCCCTCTCCCCCTCCCTCCCTCTCTCTCTTTTTCTCTCTCCCTCCCTCTCTCTGTCCCTCTCCTCGGGTCTCGACGGGTCTGTTCCGCTGCTGGTCCGGTGCTGTTCTGATCCGCTGATCGGGTACTGTTCTGACCTGCTGGTTCGGTACTGTTCTGATCTGCTGGTCCGGTACTGTTCTGACCTGCTGGTCCGGGGCTGTTCTGATCTGCTAATCCGGTACTGTTCTGACCTGCTGGTCCGGTGCTGTTCTGACCTGCTGATCCGGTACTGTTCTGACCTGCTGGTCCGGTACTGTCCTGACCTGCTGGTCCGGTACTGCTCTGATCTGCTTGGCTCACAGCCGACGCCTTTGTCTCGGCCCATGACCATCCGCGGCGCCGTTCACGGCTGTCCGGCTGCTGCTCCTGCTGACCCCGATCCATTCGGAGCCGGCACTGGGCGCCGCCAATTGTCGGCAAACATAACTCACCAGCGGCTAACGATGCGACGTTAGCTCAGCATTTGTCGGCCACGCCTCGTTAGTCCGCATTGGTGGCATTGTTCGGGGGCATCTGTCGATGGGACGCGGAGAGAGAACGTGGAAGTAGCAGATACCCATGGAAATGGAGGCAGCGAATCAAAGTCAACTGGAAACGGTCGTCGTTATGATTTACGTGCAGCTAATTGCACCCGAACTGGTATGCACATCAAGCTGAACCCTGGAGTTAATTGCGCCTAAATTCGCTAGCGCCTCACGAAAGCGAAGCACTCATCCAGTTCGGGTGAGTGCCCTGCCTGGGTCTTCTCGCCGTTCTCTTCACCCCGCTCCGTCGCAGCCCCGCCGCAAACCCGTCCCGTCTGATTATTATCCCATTAGGTTCCCGCGCGTGGAATTCTCCCCGCTCTCTCCCCCAATTGGCCTCGGCACCGGTGTTAAGCGGGGCTAATGTCTCGCGCCGCTCCCAGCTGGCTCATCAAACGCACCGCCGCCGCTCCGCTGACCCCGCCTGACCCCGGCCCCGTCAGCGCCGGCCGGCGTCCAGCGGGTCACGGCGCGGCGGGGCGACGGGCCTTTCTCCCGGGCGTCGGGCGGCGCGCCGGGCGCCGGTCACGAAAGGTCAGGCGATCTGAGCAGGCCAAGGCCACCCTCTCAGGACACAGACTGAATTCAGATGGGCGCTGGTGAAAAATCACCGGCCGCGGCTGGCCTGCGCACAGTCCAGTAATGCCTTCTAATTACGGAGAGGTCGCGGCTACCAAATCGCTCATTCCGATGCGTCGCTTGGCCGAACTGTCTCCCGCGCGGATTGACCACTTTCTTCTGGTGAGGCCGAGCGTGGTCCGAGGAGTGACGTGGCGTTCTCCGGGACCAGCTGCGCCAGCGCCTTCAAAAGTGTTTCACCAACTTGTCTTGAGATCCGCCGAACGAGACGCCAGAAGGCAAACACTCGAGACAAGAGCGGCACGTGCGGGCCGCGGCGAGGGCTGTTGTCATCAAGCTCCGAAGGAAGCCGCCAGCTTCAGGCTGGGTCCGTAGGTAGCCGACGTTTCAGGCGTGTTCTGACATCCTTCTTTAACAAGTTGCAATGCCTACCGGAACACCACATGGATAATGTGAGCGGACAGCTGAAACTAATGTGCTCTGTCTCACTACATGCTCTGATGGTGTCCAGAAAATTAGAACACATGTCAATCGCATTCGATCAGAACGGGCTCAAATTACGCCATAAAGCTGTCTGTACATGATTCGCCTCGTCTTCACATTCACCCTCCCCACAGAGATGATCCGTTCCTGGCATGATTACTACCACCGAGATAGCTGTTACGAAATCTTCGGGGCCGATAGCCCACAATTTTCAGATGTAGGCGCTGACTCGAGCTTAAAACAGCTGGTCCGAGACGGCTCCCGGTGCCGGAGCGCAATCTCTGCCTCTTCAGAGGCGGTGCGCCTCTTGTTACCCCCTGACCCGCCTGAGTGTCGGACAGGCGCCGCCAGGTCCCGTCTGATCGCTTGGGGTGAGGCGAGGCCCGGGCCTTGGGACCTCGTGACCCCTGGCCCGCCGCCTGGCTGGCTGAGCGTCAGCTGGCCGCTGGCACAGGGCCGCGCCCGGCCGGGGAAAAGGCCAGAAAATTCATCCCACCGCCGGCGAAACACGACACGGTCTGAGGGACACGCTCCCTGACACTCATTGGACCAGCAGGCTTGAATTATGTCGGCATTTACGACTGCGTGGCGCGCTCTCTGGCAGACCCCGGAGTGAGCTTCTGGCACCGTAATCCTGGATGGCAGTGGCGGAAAGTTCCCGTTTGGAGCCCTCTCACTCCGTAGCTTCTTCCAGCCGGTCGTCCCATGGCCCAGCCATAGATGCTGGCACCCAAAGGCGAATCCGAGGGACCAACGAATCCAGACTTCCCGCAAACACGGCGCAAAAGCAGAACTGATGCAAGTTTTTAGGTGGTATTTTGGTCGGCAATGGAAACGTGCCCTGGCCTCCCAGATGGGGTGCTCAGCCCTCCCTTGCTGGCACCGGTGTCGCCCGTCACCCGTCACGGTCTTCCCAGTCATAACAGCTGACCGGCGTTTATCGCGATGGTGGCGGACCGTCGCCCGAGTAGGTCAAGGTAGCGGCTGAGAACCGCTGCCATCCGAACGGCTCGTGCTCCGTCACCTTTTCACTGGCAGCTGACACCTGGATCAAGGACCTCCGACCTGTGGAAGCACAGGAGGCCTCTATGCACCATGCGGCTGACGCGGGGCATTCTTCCCACAATGCATCGTTCTGCCAGGGCGCTTCTCGTTTCAAAACGTGCCGCGGCGCACCTCATCAAGTCGCATTGTATCGTTCTGTGAGGGTCTCCGCGGCTGACTGCGTCGCGGCAGAGCCTGTCTCCCATCGTCGGTCGGCCGGCGCCGCGACCAGCTTGGCTTGGCGCCGCTGCAGCTGGCACGGTGACCTGTGTCTGCTGCCGCTGCCGACGGCGGAGCATCGGCACGTGCCGCCGCCGCCGCCGCCGCCGCGGGGCATTGATGCCGTATGAGGAGGCCGCCGCGTCACCCTCCAGTGTCACGATCGCTCTACCTGCGTGTGACACGTCACGACGGTCGTCGGGCTCGGCAGTGACGCGTCCCGGTCGTCACCGGGCCCGCTGGTGGCATCAGAGGTACTGGTCGCCAGCTGGCTCCACTTGAAAGGGCCCGGTCGAGGATGCGTCCGTCTCCCAGTGAGGCGGTGCGCCGCCCGGCCTGCTGACAGAGCGTGGCGGCGAGTCGGTGACCCGGTGCTCGGGTGCGGGGCCCGGCCCGCTCCCGTCGCTGCCGTGCCTGTGTCCCTGGCGTCAGCGCCGCCTGGTGATCGGGATCAGGATCGTGCGCCGCCGATGTCCGGTTGCGCAAGAGACGTCCGTTTGTCCCACTTGATGGCGCTCTGCCCAGCACTTTGTATGCCAAGGAGTCGGGGACGCAGAACAACAGGTCATCGAGTCCACGCAGACGAATAAACGGATTAAATATCTGGCACGTACAGGAGGGGGAGGGGGCGAGGGAGTGAGTAGGGCGGAAGGCTAGACTGTCTCACTGTACAGCGGGGTGCTGGACGTGTGGAATGTCTGACTCAGCGACTGGAAGACAGGGCCAGAACAGGAAAATGATAAGAGTTGATGTGACAAAACGAAACTGATGAATTGCAGAACTAATGCGACACGAGAGGCTCATGTTAAAGTGACAGCATAGCAATGCTCTACAAATAAAAACGGTCGGACAAATTCGCGGCAAGACGGGCAACGACATCGAGACATACATCCGGCCTATGTATGGAAAGAGAAGCTGCCAGCCGGATGCCGGGGAGAAGCGAACAGATGGCAAGATCTGCGATGAAATGGAAATGGGCGCGCTGCCTTTCGGAAAGCATTGCGCACAACTTTGCAACGCGCAGAAGTTACGGGTGCAAATACACAAACCGCAAGACACATGCAACGCAACTCGTTATTTTCATGAAATTCCATACCAAACTAATGAAATACCCTACATAAACCGAACTATGCCACGCTAATTAATACTAGACTTGCAAGTACAAGCGGACGGTGAGGCAGCGGGCTGACTGGACGGCTGGACAGCGGGAAGACGGGCTAGCTGTGAGTCAGTCAGTCTGTTAACACAGACGAACTGACGCTGGTCTGGCTCCGTCGCTGGTCTTCTGGGACGCGGCTGTGAGTCAGACAAACGGACCAGCAGGCGGTCTGACTCAGGCGCGTCGCCAACATTTTCCTCGAGGTGGGGATAAATGACAGACTGCTTCCGACTGTCGACAGATTTGGACCAAATTCGTTCGAAATCGCCCTGAACCTAGCGTAAATCTCTTGGCCCAGGGGGGATGACTCCCGTCCCCCTGGTTGCGCCTGTGATCTGACCCCATCACCTTTGGTCTTGGACGTGGCACCGCCCGGGTCGTGCCGGTCGAGCGGCGCCGGTGTTTGGCCGGCTGCCCGGCCGTCTGGCTGGGCTCGGCCGGCCGGGCGCCGCCCACAGCCGACTGCTTTGTTGTCTGCACGGCCGCCCCGAAGTGACTTTTGGCCGCCGCCGCCGCCGCCGCCGCCGCCGCCGCCGCCACCGCCGCCACCGCTGGTGTCAGCTGCTGGCGACGGCGCGGAGCGTCGACTCAGCTGGGGCAGAAAACAGCGCAGGTCGCCGATCTCGCCGCCAGCGTCTGTCAGCGATGGCGCGACACCCGACGACATGCACGGGCCAAAACATCGCCGGCTGGGGGCCGGGGTGGCGATGTGGGGTTCCGTTGTGTCTCAAGAACGCCTGGTTTCTCGTGCCGGGGGCTGCTGCTGGGCTGTTGGCTGCTGCTGGTTGGCTACTGGCTGCTTGGCTGCTGTCGAGAGCTCGGTTTGGGATCTGCCATCATTGATTCACGGATTTTTCCAATCTTTTAAACCCTTCGGCTTGTCAGCTTACGTCACCGTGGCTCTCCAACAACGCTGTACGTTATCGCTCTTTCCGGTCAGCTGGAGGTACCGGAGGCAGGGTTCTGCCCCGTGACTAGTAGACAACCTCAGCTCGTCTGCCGCCGTCGCCGTCCCCGGCATGCGGTCCCTGCCCCTGGGCCGGAGCGGACGTCGGTCATCACGTGACCTCCTGGGGCCCGGGGCCCGGGGCCCAACCTTCCGGGGCCTCCCGCGGGCCGGACCGCCGCTGCCTGTCGTGCCTGAGCTCATTGGTCCGTCCCGCGTGGCTGGACTAACCGGCTCTGCACGCCTCAATGGTCCCGATGCTGCACAACAGACCGACGCTCATGCATACGACGGCTGTAAACCGCGGCCCACGCCACAGCCCAGCCAGCAGAGACTGGACCGCGCCTAATACGGCCGGCGGCCGCGGCGAAACCCGCCCCAGCAGCAACAGCATGCAATGTTGCAAAGTGCAGGTCCCGGTTTCGGAGCTGCACCCGGATGGCCGGCAAACCTAGGGCATTGACGCTGTTGTGGAATGCATCAGTCCAGCGCATGCTTTTGCCTCCGCTGGCCTGACCTGTTTGCACCGTTTGGGTGATCATGTCATCGCCGTAGGCCCGTCTCCTTCTCAGAACATGACCCTGACAGTTCATGTCCATCATCCCTCTGACAGACCATCGAACAGTTCTTATGACACGCTGTCTGACTGTCTGCCCGGCAGACTATCCCACCTTTGCTTCGACGGACCATATCATCATCCCCACGGCAGACCATCTGACCGTCCTGCTGACGGACCATGCTACCGTCCCTCTCACAGACCATCCCCACGGCAGACCATCTGACCGTCCTGCTGACGGACCATGCTACCGTCCCTTTCACAGACCATCCCCACGGCAGACCATCTGACCGTCCTGCTGACGGACCATGCTACCGTCCCTCTCACAGACCATCCCGTCATCCCCCGACATATAACCCATCATCCGTCTATTGGCGGACCATCCCACTGACCGAATGACAGACCAGCTGTCCTTCCCTCTGACGGATGGCCTTCCGTCCCTCCGTCAGGCCATCCTGCGGTCCTCTGACAGCTGCAGTCCCCCCCCCCCCCTGACCGTGAGCCTGGACGAGGCCGGCCGGCGCACACGGCGCGCTCGGGTGACGCCCGGCCGTCACCATGAAGCAGCGAACGGGTCGGCTCGGACCACCTCTGACAGCTGCATTCCCCCCCCCCCCCCCTGACCGTGAGCCTGGACGAGGCCGGCCGGCGCACACGGCGCGCTCGGGTGACGCCCGGCCGTCACCAGGAAGCAGCGAGCGGGTCGGCTCGGACCACCGCCCTCGGCGCCGCTGCACGCATGCGCCCCGTGCGCTGCCGGCCTTGGCTGACCACCACCATGAATACATTTGCACTGTTTGGTGTGCGGCCTAGCGGCTCTTGAACACGGTGCGCCAACCACAAGTTCCGCGACGCGCGTCCAGTTTTTACTGGCCCGTAATAGAATCCCATTACTGGTGTGCGCGGCTGTGTTTGTGTGCATGTGTGTGGGCGTTTGAGTGTGTGATAACGTCGGTTTTGCCCATGCAACGTGTTCTTTGCCACTGCTGTGCTCTTGTTTGTGTCATTAGATGCACAGATTCGAAGGGGAGATAACACGAAGAAGGGAAGAGAGAGAAAGAGACAGAGAAAAGGGAACCTTCTGAAACGGCGCATGCAATCGCTATCGATTCCTATAATTAATGTTTCGAGTGCGCGCCGCCGGCCTGTTTCTGCGGTCACAGTGCAGTTGGGCTCGTGCCTCTGCCCCGCGCCAGAGCCGGCCCTGTATCGCGGGGCCATCGCTGCTGCCATCGGACCGTGCCGTCTCGGGTGCCGGCCCAGATTGGCGGCGGCGCCCTCCCCGCCCCCGCCGTCAGTCACCGCAGCTGGCTCGAGGTCGGCCCAGGTCGCACTGCCCCGCACGCGGCACACTCGGCACCCGTCGGGAGGGGGGGGGGGGGGGGGGGGGGGGAGGGCGCAGTGCGCCAGCGCGCCGTGCCTCCTCCTGACATGGCGCGCCCACAGCCATCGGTGTCATCGTGCAGCTGCAGCCGGCCCGCGCTCTGTCGCAGCGTGTATCGACTCCTGTTGGACCAGGACGCGCACCTGCCGCTGCACGTGTCCACGTCCGCCTCGCTGCCTACCACATCGGCAGGCGTTTGGCGCACCACGATCGACCCTTCGGCTCCCGTTCCAGGGGCGCCACCACGCCCGTTTGAAGACGTTTGACTTCGGGCCGCAGCAGTGTGACCCGCCGGCGTGCCGCCTGACTCTTTACCCTTCGGCTCCCGTTCCAGGGGCGCCACCACGCCCGTTTGAAGACGTTTGACCATGGGCTGCAGCAATGTGACTCGCCGGCGTGCCGCCTGACTCTCGACTCTCGGCTTCAGCGTGACGACGCCTCGCGTGCGCCGCTCCAGCCGCCTGCTAAGCCGGCCTGTCGCTACGTTTCAGACACCCTGCTGACGGACCTGAACGAGTCGGTGGGATCGAGCCGCTCGCCGGCCGGCACGCAGCAGCGCGCCGTAGTGCCAGCCGGCGGACCTGGCGTGGTGACCGAAGTGCGCGGTGCGCCCGGCTCCGGCGACTTCCACGAGCGGCGCGAGTACGTGTCGCCCGACCAGCGCACGCACGTGGTGCAGGAGCGGTTCGAGCGGACGTCTCGGGGTGACGCCGGGGTAAGTGCGGCGGCCGGCCGCCGCATGGCCGCCACTCTCTCTCTAGAGCTGACTGTAGGCCGCATGGAGTGGTACTGGGCGGGGCTGAGGCTGCGCTCAAACGGTGGACGCCGACAGCTGGCAGGACTGCCCCCGCCTGAGGTCACGGGTGACGGGGTCACGGAAGGCGACGGAGGGAGACCGACGGCTTTGTCAGCTGCTTCCGTCTCAAGACGCAAGCAGGCTACTAAATTATTGAGACGGATGTATTGGGACTGGGAATGCGTCCATCTTTTGAATGCACCACCTACTGAGATTGTCTTTGAACACGTATTATATTTTCCGGACGGTCTGCAATTTCATCGCTTAATTGGTTTTCCCTCTTACCTACTTTGATCTCACCGCGAGAGATTCTTGGGACTCAGACTTTGAGGCAGTAATGACGGGGTTTCTTCTTCAGAAACCGTCAGCCACGCACTTCTACGAAACCAAACCTGAGAGCCAATACCGCTCCTCCCAAACCGCCTCCGAATATCTCGAAAAACAGCCTGAAATAATGCAACACATTTCACAGTTCGACACAAAGCCGGGCACCAAATACCACACCACTGAAACCGTCACCGAATTCCACCAGAAAAAGCCATACACTGTGCAGTACTACGAGAAAAAGCCGTCAAATGAAGCAAAGCCTCAGTCTTACTACCGAACCATTAGAACATTCTCCGAACCCCACTCCAAGCAGCCTGACTCTATCGAGTACTACGAGGACCGGCCGCCTTCCGAACCTAAGCCGAAGGCTCAGTACCGCAGCACGCAAACTGTGACAGAGCAGCGGGACAAGGTGCCCACCACGTACCAGTACTTCGATAAGAGCCCCTCGGTGGAGCGTCGCACGAACCGAACTGTCACCGAGTACCGGTACCCGGCCGGCACTCCGCACCGCGAGAGTGAGCCCGTTTTGCGCCCCTACACCACCAAATCGACTGTGGAGTACGTGGACAAGGCGCCAGCCGCCCCCAGCCTCCCGCCCGGGCAGCCAATGACCGTCCGCTACGTGGACAAGGACCCCATCACCATCTACCACGAGTCCAAATCGGGGTACACCTCCGGCCCGGACACGCCGCCCGCGCTGCCTCCCGACCCTAAGCCGACCCAGGTCGTCTACGAGCGCATTATCGAGCGGCAGCCCATCATCCACTACTACGGGCGGCGGCCGCAAGAGGCCGAACCGCGTCACAGCACTCTGCCGGCCGGCCAGCGCACCTACACCACCGTCACCCAGCACACGCACTCCTCCCCCGCCGCCGCCACCCTGCCGTCCGACACCAAACCACCCGCCTACCAGAGGACCCCCCTCGCCCGGAGCCCGGAGGCCGACGTTGCGGTAGGTTCCCGGCCGCCCCTGCCCGCCCGTGTGTCCACCACTCTGACTGACCCTGTGTGATGACGGCGCTGACCTGTTTGAGCCCGGCGTGCGCGCCGGCCGCAGCTGTGTGGCGCCCGCGGCCCCGCCGGCGTCTAACCATCTCACCCGTGTACAAACGCACCGTCTGCGTGTGCCCACCAGGTGCCGGGCCGGCTGTTTGTGTCTAACCGTTACGAGACTAACAACGAGCTCACGACTAACCGGTGGCCGCCCGGCGACTACGGCCGCGGCTCCGACTACGGCCCGGCGCGACGCGCCCACGACCTGCGCTCGCCGGACGCCCTGCGCTCGGAGCCGGACTACAGCCGCGGCTACGGCCCGCCGCGGGGCGGCCACGACCTGCGCTCGCCGGACGCCCTGCGCTCGGAGCCGGACTACAGCCGCGGCTACGGCCCGCCGCGGCGCGGCCACGAGCTGCCCGACGACCTGCGCTCGGAGCCGGACTACAGCCGCGGCTACGAGCCGGAGCCGCTGTGGCGCGGCCGCGCCGGCTCGATGCGCAGCGAGTCCGGCGCGCTGGTGCACCGGCCGGAGCCGACCGAGCCACTGGGCCGCCGGTACGGCTCGGCGCGCGCGCCGCAGCACGGCCGCCGCTCGCCGCCCTACGCCGAGGTGTACCGGGCCGGCGGCGAGCCGTACGGCTACAGCCGACCGTACCAGGCGCCGGGCGCGTTCGCCCGCGCGCTCAGCCCCGTCCAGCCGTCCGCCGCTAACAGACCTACTAACTACGGCGGCCGCTTCGACTCGGTACGATGACGGCGACGGCGGCCCTCTGACGGCCTCCTCGCGCTGCCGGCGGCGGGCCGAGGAGGCCGCCGGCCGGACGCAGCATCCTCACGGCCCTGGCTCACCTGGCATCCCCGGCCGAGCTGCCTGTCCGAGCTGTCGTCACAGCTCCCTGGCGCTGATTCGCTCCCACTGTTCCGGGTCTACACATGTCCCACAGTCTCACATTTCCCACCAGTCTACTCAAGTCCCACATTCCTGGGTCTTTAAAAGTCCCCCAGTCCCGGGTCTCTACAAGTCCCACAATACTGGGTCTCCACGGGTCCCATAGGAATGGGTCTCTACAGGTCCCACAGCCCGGGGTCTATTCAAGTCCCATAGTCCCGGATCTCGTCAAGCCCCATCTTGTCGGATGTCTTCAAGTCCCATAGTCCCTGGTCTCCTCAAGTCTCACATCCGTGGGTCTCTTCTAAGCCCACTATCTCTGGTCTCTACAAGTGCCACAGTGCCGGGGCTCTACAGGTCCCATAGTGCGGGGTCCATTCAGGTCCTCAGTCCGGGGTTTCCTCACATCCGGTCTCCACTATCCGGGCCCCCACTCCACAGTCCGTGCTCTCCCTCCCCGTTTTGCGTCCCACCACTCCTTGCGCCTCCTTTCAGACGCCATCACTCCTCGTAGCCTTCTGACTGGCCCCATTGTGGTGTCAATCACAGCACCTGGCTGGAGCCCTCCTGATGACACTGAGACACCTGTGGTGTTGGAGATCCACGCATAAGGCCGTGCACTGACGTGTTGTGTTGTGTGGTTTGAGGCTGCACTGAGCAGATAGCATGTAACTATTTGCTGTGACCCATTAGTCTCACCAGTTTAACTTGCACTGGTTGCGAAGTTCTAACATGTATTAACACTAAATGGTGTAGTGGTGTTCTGATAAAGCCGGACGGGCGTCCGTTGTGCAGTCTTGCCATCAGATGACGTTGATTGTAACTGACGTCGGGGGACGGACGCGAACGATGACGTCGGACTGTTCTAATCACCCGTGCTAGCCAGTTGATTTAACAACGTCCGCTTGAATGACACGAGTGTGCACCGTGGCCGCGGTGACCTCGCCCGTTCCGTCCGTCTGCCTCCTCCCCCCCCCCCTGCCAGCCCATTCCATTCCATCACGGCGCGTCCCAATGACGTCATGTTGAACGGGGGTGGGGCGGATCGTCACGCCACGACACGGCGGCGCCACCCGGGCCACCCCGGGACGCTCAGGGACGCTCCGTCTGTCCGGCGGCGAGCTGACCAGGGTCGGATCGAGCCCGCTGAAATGGGACCGACGGCGGTCCAACTGACCGCCGCTAGTGACCTGCTAAGGGCCGGATCGGCCCCTGGTGACCTGCTGAGGGTTGGGTCAGCCCCTGGTGACCTACTGAGGGCCGGGTCGGCCCCTGGTGACCTGCTGAGGGGACCTGCTGAGGGCCGGTTCGGCCGCTGGTGTCCTGCTGAGGGCCGGGTCGGCCGCTGGTGTCCTGCTGAGGGCCGGGTCCGCCCCTGGTGACCTACTGAGAGCCAGGTCGACCCCTGGTGACCTGCTGAGGGTTGGGTCAGCCCCTGGTGACCTGCTGAGGGCCGGGTCGGCCGCTGGTGTCCTGCTGAGGGCCGGGTCGACCCCTGGTGACCTGCTGAGGGCCGGGTCGGCCGCTGGTGTCCTGCTGAGGGCCGGGTCGGCCCCTGGTGACCTGTTGCGGGCCGGGTCGGCCCCTGGTGACCTGCTGAGGGCCGGATCCGCCCTGGCCAGCGCCGAGGCGTGCCGGCCCAACGGTCGGTCGGTTGCCGTCGCCGGCCACTGAGTCGACACCCGTGGCGATCAGTCTGACCTTGTGTGGCGCAATGGGCGAGAATGGGTGTTCTGCTGAGCGCAGCAGGACATGCCAGGGGCACATCATGAGTGCAACATGTACATTTATGTAGCACGCGTAGATGCTTTGGCATTCGGTCGTCGGTTTTGCGACTGAAAAATGCAGCACTTGAGCCTTTTGCTGTTCTGCTGTTCTGTTTTAAATGCCACCATCGGTACAAATTTCGCGCTGTTTAACGTCATAGCTAGACATTTCTTTCCTAATTGCGGGATTTAAAAGCTGATATGTCGTCACAACCACCATCGCCCACGATCGCAATCACGGCCTGCTTTGCTTAACCCGTGGCTTTCAGACCAGATGCATATGCGGCATCACAATGATTCCTGTTAAAACACTGCACTGCTCGGGCATGCACGCTGTGCCCGCGGGTCTTGGAAAGGCTGACATCAGCTTCTGAAGGCATATGCAGGCTGTGGGAGTGGATTCCTAGACCCACCACCGCCGGAATTCACAGCGAAAGCCGGCGTGACCGACACCCCGAGCGGTCGTGACGAAAGTTGAACGCCTTTTATTGCAACGCCATTTAAACTGGGCTTGTGCAGCGCGCAGCGGTCAGCGGATACATTTCCTGCGCCAGTTAGCCTCGATATTCCCGCTAGATTGATGGCCAGAACCATGTGCCGTCCGCTACAACATGACGCTTGAGGGGCTCATGGTCAAACGAGGCTGAAGTGGCTGGACCACCGATGCCAGGCATTTGCGTGGTATTTGCTCTTGCTCTTGAACTCGTGTTCTTGATGATGATTCAGCGCGGGCTCAGCGAGCTCAGTCAGTGAGCGTACTACCCTCCCGCCGATGGGTGGGGTTGGGGGCGGGAGTGTCAGCAGCCGGTGTGGTCTGAGGGAGGACCCCTGTGCCGCCGGGTCCCTCGTCGTCCGGTCCTGGAGGCCCCTGGCCCACCGCGCGCCTGCCGTGCGGTTTAAGTGTAGGCGGGGACGGCGGCTGTGCCTGCTTCGCTGGCCTAGGCTGGCGCTCAGAACGGCGGCTGTGAGGCAGCTCTGCTGGCGGCCGTGGGCGGCGACCTTGCCTCCCCCGCAGGACGGCTGCCTGGCGGCCCGCCCCGCCAGGCCAGTCGCGTGCGGTCGCGTGCCCGAGCAGCAGAGGATCGGCCCTCGCCACCTGTCAGTGGGGGCGCCGTGCAGTCGCGACCGACGGCGGGCCGTGCGCCGCCGCCGGCAGAGAACGCTGCGGTGACGGGCGGACGCGCCTCCGACCCGACCGGCTCGACCGACGGAGCCCGACCGGGCCTCCGCCTCCGGCCGTGACCTCAGGTCACCGTCCCGAGTGTCGTGGTGGGACTGTGGTCGGCGCCGCCGCGCCGCGGAAGCGACGCAGTCATGTCGGAGGCGTTTATGGTGCAGCGTGTGAGAGTGAGTCGAGCGAGATCGTGAGCGACTCGTGACGGTCGTGAGCTTTCCGTGAGAGCGGCGCCACTGGCCGGCCGCGGCAGGGAGCGCTGCCGCCGGCCGCTGTGTAGCCCGCTCCAGCGATGCGGCGCTCTCGCGTAGCTGTCAGTAGGCCAGTCAACACGGCCGTGCTGTTTATGCACAGACGTTAGCCCGGTCTGGTGTGTTTGTTACGTCTCAGTCAGAGCACCACCCGGCTATTGTTGGCCGCCTGTGTTGTGTCCTGAGCACGTCAGAGCGACGCTCGCAGAGCAGGTCGGCCCTCGCCGAACCACGAGATGGTTCGTACACGGAGACCCTCCCTCTGATGACCTGAAGTGGCGGTCTCCTCACGAGGCCGCCGTCTGCGCCCGTGTCTCGCGTGTCGCCGAGCCCGCTCTCCCCGCCGCCCGACGGCGCCGCCGTAGCTCGCGCCGCTGTCCCGGTCTGGCGCTGCGGTGGGCCCGGCAAGCTGCTCCGCCCGGCGCAGGCGGTGTCCCGCCTGCCTCAGGCGGGCGTCTCAGGCGGGCGGCAGGCTCTCCGCGGCGGCTGCCGGGCCGCGCTCGCGCGTGGACGCGTCTCAGGCGCGCTGGGCCGGCCCGGCGGCGTCCGGCTGGCCGGCGGCGGCGGGGAGCGGCCAGCGGGCGATGCCGGGCCGCAGGTGGCCGGCTCGTGCGCTGTGAGGCGTCGGCGGCGCCGCCAGCGTCGCAGTCGCGGCTGCAGCGTGACCTTGGCGCGGCGCCGTCAGCTGACGACGCGCCGGGCTCGCCGCCGAGCCAGCGCCGCTGCAAGTGGGGCCGGGTGGGCGGCGACTGGCCGGCGCTGTCAGGTGTCACGGGTGACGGAGATGCTGGCGTGTGTGACAGCGGCAATAGCGGCCGTTTTTGTGTTCGTCTCGGAGATTTGTTAGCGTTACTCAAGCCTGCAGGACGGCTTAAAAACGCACCGTTAAACATCAATCGTTCGAGCCAGCGCAGAAAAAAACACCGGTCTCTCTCTTTCTTTCTCTCTGATGCCTGGCCAGGCCCCAGTGACCCGAGGTTGCATGGCCCAATCGCTCACAAAAACAAGGACGGCTCCGACAAAACGGACGGGACCCTGCCATGCTGAACGAAAGACCGGAATGCCCGACGTCACTCACGGGATCCCATCTCCTTGCCACGCTACTTCTGGGCATACGTGGCGTGCCCCGGCCCGTCCGCGACCCCAAACGGTCTGACCAGACATGACGTGTCCCAGCGCCGGGGGGGGGGGGAGGGGATGGGGGGGAGGGGGACGGCGATGTGCGAGGGCGCAGCACGCGGCCGCGCCCGCTCGCTCTGACCGCTGTCCGTATTTCAGAACCAGGCGGTCACCAAGCAGGTCTACAAGACCTCGTACTCCGGCGACTCGGCCCCCCAGCCGATCCAAGGCAAGCTGACGCTTTGTTTTGCGCCTGCGCTGGTGTGCTTGGCATTGCGCTGCGGGTGGACGCGCCCGCCAGGCCTGCAGAACGTCGCTGAGCCGTCAGATGACGCGCACAGCTGGAAACCCCGCCCCCCGTGCTTACGAGCCGGGCGCATGAGCGCATTCCGCGAGCGCCACGGCCACGCCCGTCGACAGCGGGCTTGATGCGGCGCATCCCAGAGGCTCTGCCGCTCCACCCGGTCAGCCGCGTTCGTTTTGGTGACCAAAGCCCCGGGGGATGGACGCCGTCTACTGCTGGCGCCGGCTGCGTCAGATCTGTAGCGGGCGTGACGTGTCTGCGCGCGGCGTCAGAGGGCCAGCAGCCGCCCACCGGGGCGCGGTCGCTGTCGCCGGCGCCGGAAGCGCACAGGTGGTGATGCCAGTGACGTCACCCGGCCGTCGGCTGCAAAGTGGCCCCGCCCACCGGTCCGCATTGTGCCGGGCTGCGGGCGCGCCGGTGGGGCTTGCCTGCCGGCGGCCGGCGGGTGCTCTGCAGCGACGATTGCTCGCTTCTCTGTGTGTGCACCGCTGTGCCCTCGGGGCACGGCATTTGGATTATGCACGGTGCTGCCACGGTACAATTGCGTGATACAAGGGCGGGCCCAGAATCGGGTCTTTGGAGGTTCAAAATCCCCCTGGGGAGGGACTTAAGTTTCAAATATGTTGCAACTTACACAAAAATCGAAGCAGATTGGGGCGTTTTCCGTAGTTTTGGAAGGAGCATGACCTTTGTTCGCTTCGGACTGGATCCGCCCCTGACCCTTGACGTGGCGCCATGAATAAAAGGGCGCTCTGATCGAGACGTCCTCCAAACTACTTTCCTGATAATGTGCCTATTTTCATGTCTTTTGTTTACAACGAAGCGCTGTCATATTACGCCCTCAGATACTTCCATAACATTACAATCACGGTGATTCATTTTGCCGTCAGTTTTCCTTAGTTGGCGCTGATAAAATACATTGCATTGTCATATAACTGGCATAGGAAGAACCAAGACGTTTGAAAACCGAGTGCGGTCCTAAAGGTATAAATGATGCGCTGTATGCATGCTTCAATATCGGATAATACGCAGGCAAATGCATAGTTCGTTCAACTATGCTTAACTGTCCCCACAGTACCACAACCTTGTCGTAAGATCGTGACATCTCCGAATAATCATGCGGAAAATGTCAGGACCTTGCGCATACATGTCACGTGGTTTAGCTAACTGATCTATAAATTGTATCGGAGGTTCCTTCTGTACCGCTGGCGGATCCTGTGGGAGGGCCTCATAGGTCTGGTCCACCTCACCGGCACGGGCACGCTTGGCACGGCGCGTGCGGCGCGTGTGGCTCCACCTGCTCCCGGTGGTCAGGGTTTGCTACGTGCTGGGGTTGCGCAAAACAAGCTAAGACGGGGGCCTGCAGCCTCGTACGCCCTTCAGCGGGTCAAGTGGAGCGTAACGCGGGGCAGACGTGCCGGCCGAGCCTGGCTTGATGCCCCGCCCGGTCGGCAGGCGCGGCTGCTGGCTTGCCGGATGGGCCTGGCTTGAGGCCCCGCCCTGTCGGCAGGCGCGGCTGCAGACGTGCCGGCCGAGCCTGGCTTGAGGCCCCGCCCGGTCGGCAGGCGCGGCTGCATGCTTGCCGGCCGAGCCTGGCTTGAGGCCCCGCCCGGTCGGCAGGCGCGGCTGCTGGCTTGCCGGCCGGGCCTGGCTTGAGGCCCGCCCGATCGGCAGGCGCGGCTGCTGGCTTGCCACTGACCACAGCTGTACAGTGGCTGCACGGGTCGCCCACTAACGGCCGTGTCCGCCCTGCAGCGTCCCAGCCAGCCGCCGGCGGACGCTTCGCGCTTCAAGCAGAACATTCTCGAACTCGACAGCCTGCTCGACGACCTCGACCACGCCCGCAAGAAGCCTGGCACCAGTGAGTAGAGCGCCGCTTCCGCCGCATCAGAAACGAAACGTTCCCTGCAGTGACGACACCGCTGACCAGCTGGCGTCGTCTGGTGGGATGGGGGGGGGGGGGGGGGGAGGGAGCGACGTGCGGGGCGTCACGGTCGGACCTAGCCGGCCTGACCGCCGCGGCCACGGCCTGGCCTCGGCCCAGCGTTGTCGGCCGTCGGACTCGCGAAGTTACGGCAGGGTGACTTGAGATGCGTGCATGGTAAAGGCCCTTTACATCGTTTGTGAATCTGGTGACATAGCCTACGCCCACAAATCTGGTGACGTAGCCTTCGCCTACAAATCTGGTGACATAGCCTACGCCCACAAATCATCAGCTGGACGCCTCCGCAACGTTCAGCGGCGGACACGAACAATTGACCCAACTGACAGCATCACTAAACGCGTCGTCAGTGCTGCTCTGCGCCGGACGTTTGTTGCCTGGCTTTCCGGTGCTGCCCGACATTGCTGCTACCAGTCATAGACGCGCTGCCACCGGCCGTGCTAAAACCCTCCGACGCGGTCGTCGCTGCAGCCGCCGATTGGCCGGATGAACAGGCGGCCTGCATGGCCTCTGATCACGACCACTGAAGGTCACAGGGCAGCGGGCCGACCGCTCCAAGGTCAGGGCCCGCCCCCGGCCGGTGCGGGCCCGCTCGGCCGACGCGGACCGACGCCGACCGGCGCCGCGAGGGAGGCTAAATGGCGCTCAGCACGGCCAGCCCACCGCCCACGTGTGCCCCGCCAGCCAATGCTGCGAGGCGCGCAGCACGTAACGTGGCAGCACGCAGCAACACGAGCCACAAGGGGACCGAGGATGTGGTCGGCGGCACTCGGTGACCTCGCCGGAGTTGGAGGAAACGAGTCATTCCGTAACGGTCAGGGGTGCTAATTGCAGCCAGCCGCGGCCGCATCGTTGAACTGCAGTCGTGAAATAACTGGAGCCGCGTTCATAGCCGCTGAGCCAGAACCGCAGCGCGCCCCGCCGGCTCCATGATTGATTCGACGTGCGCTGTGTAACTGATTATTACAGCGGCGGCCATTGTCTGTTGCAGATGGCGTCGACCCTGCCGTTCAAACGTGAGTGCTCGCGATGGTAGGGGAGGGGAGGGGATGGAAGGGGGGGGGGGGGCAGCGGCGATGTGTGAGCCAGTCGCGACCGGGCTCTCCGCTGGCTGCCGTGCCTGGAGCGGGGCCTGGCTCATGTGGCCCGGACTCACTCTCCTGACTTCTGCCCGGCCCAGGTTTGACTTATGTTCATTTGCTGCGTGTTGGGCCCAGTTCTAGGTGTTAGAACTTATGTGGGGATGGTGGATCTGGAGCAGAGATTGCTTCGTGACGTACGTTGTAGATGTTGAAGAGAATGGTGTCGTTTCCCGTGTCGGAGTCATAGGCCCTGCCTGACCGGTGTCGGGGCTGGTGTCGGAGTAGCGACCCCTGCCGTGGACCGTGTCGGGGCTGGTGTCAGAGTCACGACCCCTGCTGTGGAACGTGTCGGGGCTGGTGTCGGAGTCACGACCCCTGCCCTGGCCGGTGTCGGGGCTGATGTCGGAGTCACGACCCCCGCTGTGGACCCTGTCGGGGCTGGTGTCGGAGTCACGACCCCTGCCGTGGACCGTGTCGGGGCTGGTGTCGGGGTCACGCCCCCTTCCCTGGCCGGTGTCGGGGCTGATGTCGGAGTCACGACCCCCGCTGTGGACCGTGTCGGGGCTGGTGTCGGAGTCACGCTCCCTGCCGTCGGCCGTGTGGGGGCTGGTGTCGCCTCACCCATCTCCCGTGTCCGGACGCCGTCTGCCGCTCCGGCCAAGCCACGTGTCGCCACTCCGTGCATGGCAGCGCCAGGTGAACCAGACCATGTCCTCGTCACGGTCTGTGGTCTGTTTCCTGCCGCGGGGTCTGCTAACGCTGCCACACCGGCTCCGACCGTGGGCCGCCGCGCCGAGCGATGTTCTTTGTTCTGTGTTGCCGTGAGAACTTTTGCGGTGTGGATGGCGGGGTTTTAGTAGGATAGCACAGTCAGCAGTGGTGTTTGCACTGCACCGGACGTTTACGGGGCGTTACTTTC